TCCAAGCCGCTGCCTCCCACTGAGGATTCTTCAAAACTTGTTTACGAAAATTAAAATCAGACTTCTCATGAATAAAATGTAAATAAATAGTGTGTATAAAGAAAATGAAATAACATCGTTGCGTTTCAAAACTGGAGCAACGCATTCACAAAATCGACGCATCAGCGTATTGAAACATGTATCTGGTACAGTGTATATCGCAACCGATCAATTTGTGTTTGGTCTGCTGCAGCATTTTAAATAGGCAGTCGCGCGTTACGGCGTTGTATCCGCTCCTTAATACGTGAAATAATCGCAAAAAAAAATAAAAACACAAAAAAAAAACACTAAACAACCTTTCGTAATGCACAGCCAATAACATTGACCGTATTAGTTAAGAAATAAGTGAAAAATTTACAAAGAGTACGACGTACCGAATGCAAGTTGAATGAAATGACGGAAACATTTTTTTGTTGTTGTTTAATGCACATAAATATTAAAAAACCGAAAACAATTAATTCAATTTCATTCACTGCATGTTAGTCTAAATTCTCCTGCTTTAAAACGTAATCATTTTTTTATTTATTCTTAAAAATGTTTGAAAGGAAATAATTACTTATAAAAAAACAGCGCCAGATATAATTCATGATTGTTATTTGCTAAGCTACGGCTATTTTGCAGATTACTCGTTTTTATTTAAATTTAATATGTATTATTATTATTATGTTATTTGCTTCGATGGGTTGAGGAGCTCACGGTCCATGTGGTGTTATTATCGGAGCCATAGGCATAGACAGACATCTAGAATGTAAATGTGGCCACCTACCTTGAGACATGAGTTGTAAGGTCTCACTTTTAACAGTACAACGGCTGCCCTACCCTTCAAACCGAAACGCATTACTGCTTCACGGCAGAAAGAGGCAGGGTGGTGGTACCTACCCGCGCGGACTCGCAAGACATCTTACCACCATTAATTACACAAGTCATAATTTTGCGGGTTTAATTTTTATTACACAATGTTATTCCTTCACCGTGGAAGTCAATCGTGAACATTTCTTAAGTACGTATTACATTGGAAAAATTGGTACCCGCCTGCGGGATTCGAACACCGATACATCGCTACATATGCACCGGACGTCTTATCCTTTAGACCACGTCGACTTTAACTTCATTTGTGTTGGACTAATCAGGGTTAAGTTACCGTCAGTCCGCGTGTTCTCGTCTGGAACGCGTGTTGTTGGCTTGTGGCTAAATTTGAAGCGAATAGAAATAACCTAAGCGTCTCCACTGCACACTTCAACAATGAGAACGCAATCCCACTCTAATAGGCAATTGATTAGCAAAATCGCCGCTAAATGATAAAGAATTACTCCGACATCCTCATCAACAATACCGGCACCTGTACCTGAGAGTATCGAAGCCGCATTCCTGTGTAAGCTGATACCGAAACACGGACACCGAAATAAAACGTGAAAGAATGGAAGCTCTAAATACATTAATTGTTTTGTAATTACAACTCATTTAGTAAACGAGATGTGGTGACCGTTTGCGGGTACCGTAATTACACATAGGAATGTACATTAACAGTGATTGTTGTAACCGTTTACCAGCTTGTAATTGTTCGTCTGTAATGTTTAGACTGTTTACAAGATCGAACCATGGCAGGTCATCTCTAATTTCGAACTAAAATTATTTAAGACATGTTTGAAAACGCCTTAGTACCACCGACGCTCTCTTTCTTAGTTGGATTCAATAGAGATAATTTCGAATTATATATCTAAGCTTATCATTTTAAAAATTATAGGTATAAATACATTTATTACATACGATGACAAATTTTATCGAAATTTTCATATTCAAATCTGGCATGCAGATATGCAGCAATATTTATATGTTCACGAATTACTTCTATGATGAAAGAGTGACGCAATAAAAGAGATGATATTGTGTGATTTATTTTCGATATTTTTTTTTAAATAACTATATGTATTTTAAATAACTGTTCGACTGTATTTTTATGTCGTCAGACACCAAAGATTTTTTTCTGGGTGATCTGGATGTTGATGATTTGTATTTGAATTCTCGTGTCATAACATAACCATTTAAATTTTATCAGGATCTGACCAGTAGCTTTTTTACGAATACTGCATATTTAAATGACATTGTCGATGTTCTCGTCTTAAATATTTTGTTAACAGTTTGTATTATTTATCACATAAAATGATTCTATAGCTACTCGTGAACAAATATAGCATTCGTGTGAAGCGCTCAAATTGAAATAGGCTTGAGAGCACACATGTATATTGGCCTTCAAATAAAAGAATGTTTGTTTGTACAAACAGCCGTTCCATCACCGGATCGTGACCACATATTCACCGTAGTATTTATCGCCACGTCACGTGCGGATTAAAACGAGGCTACGATTTTATATTTATTGTGTCCTTTATACATTGAAAAACCACGTAAGAACGATTCAAGGCTGAACAGAAATGTATAAAAATAATAATAAAAAAACTTCAGAGGTGTCAAGGGACACCCGGATGAAACGAAGTTCCTTTCGATTAATTAGTGAAGGAATTGTATTTTTTTTTTTTAAGTTATAAATATAAATTACAGCATTATGAAGAAGAAAAAAACAATACTATGAACTAAATTACTATTGTTGAAACGCTATCTCGAGAAACTGTACTCATTACGCGGACCAATCGGATACGAGCAATGTCACGAGATAAGCGCCTACACGTTGATTGGTCAGAATGACGGATCTAAAAAGTGTCGTGACAACTTTTCGTAAGAATTTTTTCCGTCTAGCCCCCTTTCACAACGCGCGATAAGGAACTTCGTTCCAATAAATGGGAATAAATCACGCACGATAATCTGTGTGCTTAGTGCGAATTTCTTAACGTTCTCGATAGCGTAAAAGTTAAGCCAAATTTGTATGCAGTTGGAACAGCGCCCCTAGCGGCAAACGTAGGCAAACGATCCCACTCCATACAAACATGAGCTAACTTTTACGCTATCGAGAACGTTAAAAAACTCGCACTAAGCACACTAGCCCCAATTTAGCATTTCATGTGTTATAGGCATCAATGACTGATAAACATACGTATATAAGTTTTAAATATGTACATATATAGATAATAAACACCCAGACAAAGAGCAAACAAACCTGTTCATGTGGGTATCGAACCTACGACCCTCGGCGCCACAGTCCAAAGCCGCTAACTACTGCTCAACCGAGTCAGTCAGCCTATATGATGAGTTTTAAAGAAACAAACATCAGGTCGCATATCTATGATTTCCACTATTCGACTGAAATTTCAAGCTATAATTGTATTTAGTTCTCATGTAAGTTATATGTACATATTTTCATATATATTATCATATCATAATTTGCATCATATCATATTACATTTTAAAAGTTGATCTAAAAACAAAATTAGTGTTAATTTTAGCTTAGAGATCGATCTTCGAAGGTAAAACAAAAATAATATATAAACGAATATACACTGAGAGGGTTTTTTTGTAAAAAATCAAAGATCATTTTGTGTTTCTAGCTGTCAAGATTCATTAAAATAATTACTGTTTTGTTTTGGAGTTCTCACATTATGCTCTAACCAAGCCGAGAATACTTTTCATATTAATTACTTAATTAATTTTCACTTATGATGATTACGTACGTGGCTTGATTATGTCAGCTATCACTGTCGGCTGAAGTCGCGTTGTATCATATTCCATTTTATAATACATTCCTTTTTTCAATAAATTAAACTTGTGATTAAATTTAAATTATTTTTGACGTTTATTAAATAAATAAATACAGTAAGATCAAGTTTGCACGTATACTATAATAACAAATTTCATGACATTGATTAATCGATAATTCCCATATGCGATTTAGCCCATCTAGCGTTAAGTGATTAACGAATCGTCGTGGCCTAAAGGATAAGACGTCGGTGCATTCGTATCTAGCGATGCAACGGTGTTCGAATCCCGCAGGCGGGTACCAATTTTTCTAATGAAATACGTACTTAACAAATGTTCACGATTGACTTCCACGGTGAAGGAATAACATCGTGTAATAAAAATCAAACCCGCAAAATTATAATTTGCGTAATTACTGGTGGTAGGACCTCTTATGAGTCCGCACGGGTAGGTACCACCACCCCGCCTATTTCTGCCGTGAAGCAGTAATGCGTTTCGGTTTGAAGGGTGGGGCAGCCGTTGTGACAATATTGAGACCTTAGAACTATATCTTAGGATGTGTAGCGCATTTACGTTGTAGATGTGTATGGGCTCCAGTAACCACTTAATACCAGGTGGGATGTGAGCTCGTCCACACATCTAACGAATACCGTAGACATCAGAACGGGAATGACGATACTGACCTCCACAATTTCGTACGTTTTATTGCTTAAATGGGTGGATGAGGTCACGGCCCACCTGGTGTTAAGTGGTTACTGGAGCCCGTAGACATCTACAACGTAAATCCGCCACCCACCTTGAGATATGAGTTCTCAGGTCTAAGTATAGTTACAACGGGTGCTCCACCCTTCAAACCGAAACGCATCCCTGCTTCACGGCAGAAATAGGCAGGGTGGTGGTACCTACCCGTGCGGACTCACAAGAGGTCCTACCACCAGTAATTACGCAAATTATAATTTTGCGGGTTTGATTTTTATTACACGATGTTATTCCTTCACCGTGGAAGTCAATCGTGAACATTTGTTAAGTACGTATTTCATTAGAAAAATTGGTACCCGCTCGCGGGGTTCTAACACCGCTATATACGAATGCACCGGACGGCTTATCCTATAGACCACGACGACTTCAAATTCTTTTGAATTCTCACGACATGTCTAACGGTCATCATTCATTTTAATATTTAAAAATATTGGGCCGCCTATATTTTCGATATGAGCCCATACATACTTAATGCCTTTTTTCACACTTTCGAATAGCTTTTTTAAATAATTTCCAATCCCTTTGCGTTCTTTACTCAGTTTTCTTTTCATTTTCAGACGATGCAACCCATGGCTTATGGACGTAAAATGTGACAGTTTTACATGCAACCATAAGTTTAGCTCGAACGTGTGAGACCGAAGTGAAACCGACCGCTGTTAGTGCTAGTGTTGTTATACGGACGGACTTTTTACTATTGGGCTGTTTTGCCTTGGTGAGTTTTTCATATTTTTACACGCTTTTATTAGTTTTTAAACGCCTTGTCGTTCAACAAACCGCGTCAGAACCCCGAATGGGGCAGGGCTCATCCGAAGCAGGCCAGGAGAAAAGTGACGCGATTTACGCGGACTACATATTATGTACAAATCTACGCGTCACCCTGCCCCGGACCAGTGAATCCTTATCATATTATAGTTAATTCAAGACGCGATGATCTATTTGATGACGCGATGATTTATTTTTCCTTTGCAAAATAGTTTAAAAATCAACTACTTCAAATCTAATTGAACTTATTGCAGAAGACATCAACTCAAAAAAATATAACATAAGAATTGAATTGTTGGAAATTTAGTAACTTTCTTGAAATTGGGTCCTTTTACAAGACTTTTCATGCGAATGCGTAGCTATTTATTATGTATTATGTATAACTACGTAACAATTAGCTATGTAGTTTCTATTAAATCTTTCCGAAACTACGCATTGCATATACCTATACAATATAAAGCATCTTCTATTCTATTGTTCGTCATACTGGATTTAAAAGTCCCAAATTCCAGATAGAGTCAAGTTCTACAGGCCGGCTTTTTTCTTTCTTTCTACTGTTTAGTTACATTGTAATCGAAATAAAAACTTTTTAATGAATTCAAACATATTTCATACTATTCAGCCGGTCGCTTTTTATATCTCACTACGCATTTAGTTAATAATATCATCATTTGAGCACTTTTCGAAATATTTATATGATTAGTTACGTTGACTAAAAAGATGACGTTGTATTGAACACTTTTAATAAAAAAAAGATAACTTTTTTTTATTGCTTAGATGGGTGAACGAGCTCACAGCCCACCTGATTTTAAGTGGTTACTGGAGCCCATAGACATCCACAACGTAAATGCGCCACCCACCTTGAGATATAAGTTCTAAGGTCTCAAGTTTAGTTACAACGGCTGCCCCACCCTTCAAACCGAAACGCATTACTGCTTCACGACAGAAATAGGCAGGGTGGTGGTACCCGCCCACGCGGACTCACAAGAGGTCCTACCACCAGTAAACGTAAAATATACAATTTGAACAGTCGGCAATTTTATATAGCGTTTGTAATTACACAAAATGACGATAGGTCATTTATTGGTCCATGGACCGTGATGGGGCTGTTCCGGGCGTGTCGGATGTCATTACAGCGCGACCTTGCTCCACGGTGACAAGGCCATAGACATGTCGACTATTTCACACGCCATTATTAGTGGATTACGTTTTCGTGATGCTACAATGCTATAAACAAAATTGTTTCTGGTATCTTTTAATGGCCAACATTCAAGAAGCAGTCGTAATATTATCGTGTTGGGTAATGGTGGTTGGTATCTCGAATCTTCTCAGAGTACTATTACGCTTTTGATAGTCGCTGATAGACTTTACTGTTAAATGATAAATAAAATCCGAATCAAACCTTTTTAAATTTTCACAGAAAAGTTGTTTGGTTTAGGTCATTAATTATTTCAAAAAAATCCAGGTTTGAACTATGAAACTATAGCACAAAATTGCGAATGACGTAACGTTATGAACATATTATTGTTATGTTAGCTAAGTCACTCGTATTTTTGGTGCAACATTTATTATTTATCTATCTGCTCCACATTTTCAAGCTCCCGTTTTCAGCTCATAAAGATAGGTAAAGTTGACTAACCTGCTCTTTTTCGGCATGTAAGCGACCACATAAACAATTATGGCTCGCACTGAAGTATTTAATATATCCAGTGATCACGTAAAACCAGTTTTCTTTCTTGCTTCTATATGGTCCTAATTTGAGGCGGTTAATAAGTCCATCTATATTGCCTCCCACCTTGAGACATTTGTAGTTAAGGCTTTACAGTGAGAGTAATTAGCGTCAGAGATTATCTGAGAAACTGGGCGATGAGCTTGTTTATCAAATGCAGTAATACACGTAAAAATTGACCCAGGTACAATCGAATCAATAAAACGAATGCTGTATCAAAATCGAGACGTAAGTGGCGTGAGAACTTTAAAAACCGTGAACGATAATTTAATAAGTGATTGGTTGGTTCATTAATGGCGGAATCCCGTTTGAGGAATTGGTACAATCTTCTATAAATAACGCTACTTTAGAAACCATTTTATGTCAATAAATTTCGTTTGACTTCATGATTCAAAATGCACCTTGAAACTTTTAAGTGAGTATTAGTAGAATAGCTGTGATATCTTAATTAACACTACTCTATGGTATTGTCGTCCTTCTCTCTACGGGGGTAATGTAATTATTAGCCCACCAAGCTTCCCGGGTTAATCAAAAATCATTTTTTTATTGCCCTTGTAGGCAGACGAGCATACGCCCCACCAGATTGTGAGTGGTTATTGTTGAAAATTTGACGTTAGCAATGACAGGGGCAGAGCTTAAATGCCAAAAAGGATCTAATCAAAATAATGGGTTTGGGTAGCTATAAACATCATGAATTCCACTTGAGACATGAGATCTACAGGGTGGCCCATAAGTCCTTTGATATGAAAAAAAATTTATTAAAATAAAACTAATTACATTATGAATTAAATTTTTATTTACATAAAAAGCTTAAAAAACGGGAATTATTTTTTGAAAATAACATCTCCTAAATGTAATCCGTTGCGATCACGGCACTCTTGCAAACGACGTCTAAAATTGTCGATGACTGCGCGGCACGTCACTGCTGAAATGCTTGTCATTTCTCTGCGGATGTTTTCTTTTAGGGCCTCAATTGACCGCGGGTTTGTGTCGTATACTTTAGCCTTAAGGTAGCCCCACAAAAAAAAATCCATCGGGGTCAGATCTGGACTACGTGGAGGCCAGGAAATGTCTCCTCTCTTAGAGATAACTTTGCCAGGAAAAAGTTGACGGATAACGGGCATAGCAGTGTTAGAGGTGTGAGAAGTGGCCCCATCCTGTTGAAACCACGTCCTGGCATTAAAGCCTGAAAAGTTTTGCAATTCTGGTATGAAAAACTCTTCGATCATAGCCACATATCGCTCCGACGTAACAGTAACTGCGCGCCCTCTGCCATCCTCAAAGAAGTAAGGCCCTAGGATACCATGGGCTGACATAGCGGCCCAAACAGTCACTTTCGGACTATGTAAGGGCTTCTGATGCTTAAGTTTTGGATTGATGGGGCTCCAATAGCGGCAATTTTGTTTACTAACATGCCCGTTAAGATGGAAATGAGCCTCGTCAGAGAACATTATGTTATTGAAGGAAGTAAACCGATTCAACATTTCATTCGCATAATTTTGTCTTTGAATACCGTCAGTTTCCTTTAATTCTTGAACCAACTGAATTTTGTAAGGGTGCATATGTAAATCTTTCTTCAAAATCCGTTGTAACGATGTCCTGGATACGTTTAATGCTCTGGCGCGCTTACGAGTTGACTGTGTCGGATTTTCGCGAATAGACTGTGTCACTGTGTCTATGTTTTGTTCCGTACGTGACGTCCTTGGGCGACCCAACCGCGGTTTATCTAACGTCGAACCGGTCTCCTCGAACTTAGCAACCCAGTTCTTAATCGTTTGAAGAGTTGGAGTGTCGTCAAAGTTGTGTAAACCTTTGTGTTCTCGAAATTTACGCCGCGCAACGGTTGCCGAATTGTCGTTTTTATAAAACTCGCGCACACAAAACGCACGGTCCGCTCCGGTAAAACGCTCCATCGCGACTAAATTCCCAGAAACCGAAGTTACTCCCCCCGCTTCCCCTGCACCGCTCACGCGCGCCCTGTTCGTTTTATTCAAATTTTACTTTTCAAAGGACTTATGGGCCACCCTGTATTTTCGAAAATTTGTCGACTTAATTTTAGTTTAAATATGTATATTTTTTTGCGACGCTTCGGTGAAATGAGGGCCGTGAGAACGTAAAACACTTCAAAACAACTGCTCACAAGCACTCTTAACTTTTTTAAAGAACTCTTCATACAATTAGTTATTTACTTTTTAAATAATTTCTTAAAATACTTTATAATTTATTTATGACAGAGTATTGTAATATTTACAAAAGCTTATTTATTAAAATATGGATTTTTGTCTACTTCGAAAATATTACATAACTATATTGTATAACTAAGTGATCATTAAGTCAATAAAAAATACTCTAAAAACATTATATTTTTTTATCCTAATTAGATTCTTATACTCGTAGCAATGTCAAGGCTTCAGAGCTATAATTTTCATAATCAAAAAGTGTGACGTCATACTAGTAACTTATTAATGCGAGAGATATTACTTTCAACGTCAATACAGTGTGACGTCATAATTCTGTAACCCGATCTTAATTGTCACATCGTACGAATAGAACTGCAATTATCTTCTATACATTTAGCTCCTCTTTCAAAGCTTCTTTCGGCTGGAAGAAGTAATACACTGAAATGTCACGAGGCATTATCGTATTTTTCGGGTAGTATCGTGTGACGTCACACGGCCTACTGAGTTTCTCGCCGAATCTTCTCCAGTAGTCGAGTTTCCGATCCTGTGGTAGATTCTGCGAAGCACTGCTCTTGCTAGTGTTAGCAACACCTCCGGTTTGAGCCCCGAGAGCTCACCTACACGCTAGGATAACGCTGATATAGCCCCTCAAGGCTATCAACATAAGTAGTAAAAAAAAGTGACGTCACACGTGCGTGTGGCGGGCGGCGGCCGTGTAATGTGCCCGGAGGCGAACCGAGCCGTGGGAGCGGCGAAAGTGCGGGATATAACCGAGAAGGAAGATGCACACGATGCACGTTCGTTGTCGTACACATAATTATACATGTGTATGTGTAGGTATAGACAGCTTAACTAAACGCGTTCGTGGTCTAGTAGCATCACACGTGTCCCTGAAGTCTGAAGTCGTAGGCTCCATGATAATCAAGGACTTGTCCGTTTCCCTTTGTAGAGTGATATACTCTGAACTATCTACTTTCTGTTATGTGTTTAACTTCTTTGGGTCTGGGAAAACGATCTTTTTTTTAAACCTACCTAAGCTGA